CCTGCTCTGAAGCCCAAGCTGTCGCTCTTGGCCACTGACATGGTCGTTTCTGGGGTCTGTCCTTTGATTATCTAGAAACAGGGTCATTGATCTCATCCTGGGCACCACACTAGAATTGTGACACAGGAAAAAGTCAGACCTGGGGCTGGGATTTAGGTTGGTGACCCTATGGGAGTGATGCCGGCGCTTGGGCCACGTGGGCCCAGGACACGCTCTCCAAGGTGGCCGAGCCAGGGGCTGGGCCTGGGCCGGGGCCAGTCCTGCCTTCTTGCCTGTGGTCCAGTTCTCGTTTCCACCAGCCAGGGAAAGCAGGGCTGAGTCACTGGAGTCCCTGTCCCTGACTCCTCGCCCATACATCATGCATTCCAATCCCTGGTTCTTGGCAAAACCCCACTAACTTCTTAGCTCACCCCACCCTCTTCCCTGAAATAAATCAAAGTCTCAAGCTGGGGAGAAGGTCACTTGACCCAAGCCCTTCAGTCTGCAAACGGAGGCCGTGGGGTTTGGGTAGAGGTCCTGATGGGGTGAGTTTGCATCCTGGAGTAGAACCCTGTCCCTGCTGCTGAGTTCCCATAGAGCCCTGACCAGTTCATCTTTCTGCGTCTCAGCTTCTCCTGAATGGGGCTGGTGGGATGGTAGTAACTCAGTGGAAGGGTCACTGGGAGCAGGAAATATGAGAGTCTTCTGGAGGGAGCTCCCCTGAATGCACCCCACAGCTTGTGAAGATGACCTCATGACCCCCCAACAAGTCTGTTAAGGAGGCATTACTAGCATCCCCCGCTTTACAGAGGAGGAAACAGGCTCAGAGAGGTTAAGTCACCTGTCCACGGCAGCCCAGCCAGCAAAGCAGAGCCCCGGTCTACCAGACGACTGTGCAGGGCAGCGGCCCTTCCCACCAGCCCGGGGCTCCCAGAGTCCAGGGCTGCAGCCATTCCCCAGCTGAGCAAGGAAGCCGACCCCCTCCAGATAAACAAAGCACTTCCTCCCCGAAGCCGGGCCCAGAAGGAGGAGGTGCTGCGCGCACAACTGTTTATAGAGACAGATGTTTGGGACGGAAAAAGAGAGACATGCCTCCTCCATCCCCATGGAGACAGAGGAAGTTTGCAGCTTGGGCAGAGGCAACTGGAATTGAAAAAGGAGAAGGGGAAAGAAGGGAGGCAACCAGATCTGACCCGCTGAAAACGGTTTGACATTTTCAGATGCTGGTGCCTCACAAAGGATGTTGCCCAGGCAACCGGAGCCTGCAGGGCCGGAGGCTGCCCATCCCGACTGGACCAGGGGCCAGAGCCCATAGGAGGCGGGAGGGCCACAAAGGCCACTGCCGAGCAAATCAGTAAGCACGCATACACCTGGGGGCCTCTCAGCCCAAGGCCCTCCCAGGGATCCCTGCAAAGTGCGGAGGTGATTCATGGCCCCACCTCCTCCCTTCCTTCCCTCCCCCCTCCCCTCCCTTTCCCTCCCCTCCCCTCCTCCCTCCCTTGTTTGCCAGGTGTTCAATCTTACCCTTGTCCCAGCCCAGGAACCATGTCCCCACCTTCTTGGTGGCAGGTGGCAGGTGGCGCTTGGCATGACTGAGACCAGAGAGTTACTTTTGCATGGAGTGAGCCCCCCTGGGGCCCAGCACGGCCATATCCTCACACTCTCTGGCTGGAGACCCTGCGCAGTCGTTCCAGGGCAGGAGGGAGGAGAGGGGAGAGCTTTGGGGCCTCTTCTAACGGACCACATCTGCTTCCTTGGAATTTCTCGGCCTGGCTCGCCAGCCCTTTTGTCTGCACGCCGTCCTGGGCAGGGCCACCCAGTGTCCTGGGGCTGGGCATTGCTTCCCCGAGCCTCGGGGCTCTGGTGGTGTGTTGTCTTAGCATCGGCCCAGTGACCATGATGTCGTGTGGGGTCGACATGGCGACCACCTGCACAGACCTGCCCCAAGCCGCTCGCCGGCCAGTGCAGCCCAGCTTTCGTCTCATCCAGCGCAGCTGCATGACCCTCTCTCTCCTTGCTTCCCTCCAGGGGATGGGAGAGGGGGTGGATGGGGAAACTTCCGATGAACTCTGGCTCGGACGATGAGAATTCCTGAAGCCAGGATGTTCTGTGGGAAAGAGCTAGAAGGGAGAGGCAAGCTGCAGTGCCCACGCCGGCTCTGGGGTCACGACTGCAGGACCGAAGCAGGGGGCTGGCACCTTCGGAAAGCCCCTGAGATGCCCCACAGTGGGAAGGCAGACCACAGCCAGACCACATATTTATCCGGCCTGGCCCGGCCCGGCCCTCAGGGCACCCCCGATCCCAGGCTGATACTGGGAGTGCGAAGGTGTCAGGGTAAACGTCCTCCTCTGACATACGGGGAGATCTACACTTGGCAAGAAGGACTGGGTTGGAGGCCGAGGGTAGGCCATGGCCGTGGCCGGGGGTACGCGGGGTGTGTGTGTGTGTGTGTGTGTGTGTGTGTGTGTGTGTGTGTCCACAGCCAGGGGTCAGGAACACAGCTCTCACCAGCCCGTGTTGTGTGAAGTGGCAGCTCAGATGGAATGCTGGGGAGGGGCAGGCAGTGACCACAGAATCGGGGATCCAGCATCACTGGGTCTAGCCCTGAGAAGGCAGAATTCAAGCCCAATATTGAGGCACAAAGAATGTCACCCCCCGGAAAAGCAGGAAACTTTGGGAGGACAGAGGGTGATGAGAGCTTTATCAGCACCCACGATACCCGGAATGGAGGCCGGGGTGGGGGGGGCTCCCTGACCCCCAGAGCAGCCTAGCCACATCCCCTGGAGGCCTAGCCTGTGGACAGAGGCTTGAAACTGGGCCCTTGCAGCCCAGCTGCCCAGGAAATGGTGTGCAGGCTCAACTCCCACCTCTGCCCCAGCTAGCTGGGTGACCCTGGGCAAGTTACTTAAATTTTCTGGGCCTCAAAACCTCATCTATAAAATGGGCATAATAGCTATGCTTCACTCAGAGGTCATGAGGATTAAAGGAGACAATATGGGGGAACCACGTTTAATCGACACTTGTTGACACGTCAGGCTCTGTGCTAAGCTGTCTATTATGGAAGAGGTAGTCGGGGTATTGTGGGTGTCCAACAAGATGCTCTCACCTGGGCAGGGAAGGGGTGTGTCAGCTGCACTGGGAGTAGAAGTGACCCAGGGGGGCAGCCTAGAGCAGAGGGTGGTCTATAGCAGGGGCAACTTGGGACAGAAACTATAGACCAGAGGCTAATCCAGCCTGCTGCCTATTTTTGTTCAGCCTGTGAACAAAGAATGGTTTTTACATTTTCAAATGGTTGCAAAACAAAATAAAAAGAATACTACTTCCTGACACATGCAAATGACATGAAATTCAAGTTCTTTTTTTTTTTTCAAGATTTTATATTTATTTATTTGACAGAGAGAGACAGGCGAGAGAGGGAACACAAGCAGGGGGAGTGGGAGAGAGAGAAGCAGGCTTCCCGCGAGCAGGGAGCCCAATGTGGGGCTCGATCCCAGGACCCTGGAACCATGACCTGAGCCGAAGGCAGACTCTTAACAACTGAGCCACCCAGGCGCCCCCCCCTTTTTAAAAAATATATTAGGGCTTTTTTTTTTTTAAGATTTTATTTATTTATTTGACAGAGAGAGAGACAGTGAGAGAGGGGAACACAAGCAGGGGGAGTGGGAGAGGGAGAAGCAGGCTTCCCACCAAGCAGGGAGCCTGACGTGGGGCTCAATCCCAGGACCCTGGGATCATGACCTGAGCCGAAGGCATATGCTTAACGACTGAGCCACCCAGGCGCTCCGAAATTCAAGTTCTAATACCCATAAAGTTTTATCAGGACAGAGCCGAACTCATCAGTTTGCAAATTGTGAGTCGTCTGGGGCTGCTTTCATGCTGTGGATGACGCTCAAAGGCTTACTATCTGGCCCTTTGCAGAAAAAAAATTTGCTGATGCCTGGCCTAGGAGAAGCATGTTCAAAGGCCAAGGGGTAAGGGAGAGAATGGAAGTTTCTGGACAGTGGGAGAAGCCCACTGTGGCTGGAGAGGAGAGCTAACAGGTGGGCAGGGGTGGGAGGGAAGCCACAGAGGTGACCCATTCACCACAGCCCAACAACCCTTGTGGTCCCCACCCAGGAGAGGACAGAAGTTGAGGGTGAGTGGGCTCTGCTCAGCTGCCACCAGCCAGATGGCACCTTGCACGAGCCTCCCGGGGAGCGGGAGAGATGAGGAAGGAGGGAGACAGCGAACTTCCTCTTCCTTATCACCAAGAAACAAGGAGCAGCCCATGGGGCCCCAAAAGGGCTTGGAAATCAGAACATTTCTTTTTTTTTTTTTTTAGATTTTATTTATTTATTTGAGAGAGAATGAGATAGAGAGAGAGCATGAGAGGGGGGAGGGTCAGAGGGAGAAGCAGGCTCCCTGCTGAGCAGGGAGCCCGATGCGGGACTCGATCCTGGGACTCCAGGATCATGACCTGAGCCGAAGGCAGTCGCTTAACCAACTGAGCCACCCAGGCGCCCAGAAATCAGAACATTTCTGATCCTTTCCAAGGAAACCTCCCTTCTGTGGGGCTCAATGACGCCTCGTTTTCCCCAAGGAACCAAGCCGGGGAGGTTACCAAGGCCTCCTGTCGTGATTCCAGAGGGGCCCTGTAAGGCCTACCGGGTGCTCCCTCCTCTCTCCAGGTCCTGCTTAGCCAAAGCCTGAGCAGCGCTGATGCAGCAGATTGAGACCATCCCAGGGCGCCTGGAGCAGGCACACTTCTGGCCAGGGGTGCCGGGGTCACAGCTGGGCCCCAAGGCCTTCTGGGAAAGAGAGGAGGGGGAGGAGGAGTCAGCCGAGGGCAGGAGAGCCTCTTCGAGGCTGCCTCGGGGCTGGGACCACCTTTTGGGGGGACCCCCGGACAATTCATGGGGCAAACCATGCCATCTTGTTGGAGGAAGGCGGTGCCCACTGCCCTCCCAATGTGCTCGAGGGCTGCCCCACCAGGCAGGAAAGCGATAGAGCCTGTCCCACGGGGGGCTGGGACAGTTCTCCACCGGAGGGCGCTGGGGCCAGGGCCCGCGCTGGTGCGCTGAGGACGGATGGATCCCCGCGGGACCCTCCCCGACCTGCAGACCCCGGATGGGGCGGTCCTGCCTTTCCCAGAAGCTGCCTTTGCGCATTTGTCTCTGCGCTGCTCCCTTCCTCGGACGAGCCCCCGAGGGTCATGGCCTGGCATGTGTGGGACCAGTAGGAGTGACCCTCTAGAGAAACCCTCATCTTGGGCCTCTCTGGAGCCCCCAAAGTTGGGGGGTATGGTGACAGCGTGGGGAAAGAGGAAGTGGGGAGGGGTCTCCACCCCACCCCCCCTCGCGTGAGCAGTGCGCTCCTGTGTCGGGCGTCCCAGGACCGACAGGCACGGAAACGTCTCCCCCCGCCCCCCCCCCACCCCCGGCGGAGGCGGCGGCTTGTCCAGGTCCGAAGTGAATCAGGTGTAGGCTGCAGGGCGGTGAGTGTGGGGGGTGCCCACGGGAGATGCAGTCTGTCCCTGCAACAGGGCTGAGGAGAACAGACTCCTCCAGCTGGCGAGGCGGAGGTTCCGGCCACGGGCTGAGCCGGCCGCCAGGCGTGACTTCACAGGCTCCCGTCCTCCCCCTTCCTCCTCCTCAGCACAGCTGCAGGGCCTGGGGGGGGGGGAGGGGGGAGCACCCGCGACCTCAGCCCCCCGCCCTCCCCCACTCCCGGCACCGCAGCCCCCGCCAGGCACCGGAGGCCTCCAACAGCAGAGGCATCAGGCCTGGTCTCTGCAGCCCTGCTCTTCGGGGCCCACAGCCTCGGGGTCCATCACCCCGGAGCCCCACCTCCCGCCATCCTTGGCTCTGGAACCCGGATGCTCCAGCCTCTGGATATTGCCTCACTCTTCATTGGATCTTCCAGCCAAGGTCCCCACCCTTGCCCTTTCCTAGTCCCCCCCCCCCCGCCCCCAACCACTTCCTAAAGCCCCTCCCCTGCCTGCCTGCAAGTCACCTGACTGGGCTCCGGAGCCCAGCCCTACCCAGATTCCTCACCCAGCTCTCCCAGCTCTGAAATCGCTGGAGGACGTAGGGCTCCTCGACAGCTCAGGAGCAGTCTCAGGGCTGCAAACCCCCACCCGGTCCCGGCCACACGCTCCAGCCACCACTCCGGCACCCGGCTCATAGAAACCCGCGCGCGCCTGTGCACACACGCACACGATGCACACTCACGTGTGTGGCCCGCGCGCACGTGTTTATGCATATGCGCGTGCACCTGTGTGCACCATCACGCGTGTGTCTGCACACACATGCATGTGCACTCTCACACCATTCGGTTGGCGTCGTGCCCCGCGCACCTTCCTCCCAGGCTCCTGCAGTGCCTCTTCCTGCCTCTGCCGTACCCACAGGGGCTCATCCTCCGGACCTGGGACTTGTTAGTTCCCCAAGGCTCTTTCCAGAGTAGCACCCCAGCCCCCCTGTCAGGACGGTGGTACCTGCCTGCTCCCAAGAAGTGGCACCTGATGCTCCGGTCCATTTTTTACAGTCAAGATTAAAGTGAAACAAAACCAATCCCCTGTTACTGTCTGAAATTGGTGAATGATTGGCGGGGAGGGGGAGATCCCCACCCAGGAGGCTCAGCTTCACTGGGAAAGGGACTTTCCTTAGAAGGAACCAAGGCGTCTTGTATCAGCTCTTAACGATTTGGGAAGGGAAGCTGAAGAGCTCTTTACTGTAACTCGAACAGCTAAATTATTCATCAGGAACAGCAGGCAGAGATTGGACGGTGACCTGAGAGACAGGAGGCCCGGCCCAGTCCGTGACCCAGGCATGGGACCGTCTCCCCCTGCTCCTGAGGGGCCAGGCTGAGTTAGAGGAGTCTGGGGAGAGAGTAGCACTGGGGGTCCCACAGAGTGGGAAGAGCGTCATCCCAGCTGGGAGATGGGGGTGGGGGGACACTGTAGCCATATAGGGAGCTGCAGTGAGAGGTGTCCCTGGTCCCTCAGGGACTTGTCCTGATGCAGGGGTCTCCCTTGCTCTGGCTAGGTGGACCCCAGACCACAGCAGGCTGGCACTGTCCTGAGACACCAGGTTTCAAGGTGCCTGGCTCCCCTATGCAGACTCCCTTCTGCAGCCTACAACTGTCCGTGCTGACCACAGGTGCTTGGGATGGGAAGGAGCATGGCCAGAGTCCTATCCAAAGTTCAGGCCTGGCCTCCTGCTCCCCCGGAGGCTCAGGATGGGGAGGAAGGGAACAGGTGGACATCAGAGCTCGTCCCTCAAATGCAAAACACAGCCCGGCTCTGTGCCCCTTCACCTCTGCTCTCTCTGCTCTGGGCACGGGGAGGGCCGGCTCTCCTGCTCTGCCTGGTCAGCCCCCAGGCCCTGCGCTCTGACCCAGGGGGAGGCTGGGACAGAGGGCTCAGAAGTCTCAAGCATTGTCCTTCCTTCTAGCTCTGCCTGTCCCCGAGGAGGGAGTGACCAGAGGAGCAGTGGGAGGTGGGGATGGGCCCAGGGCCCAGTTGCGGTTGTTGGGCAACGTCTCCCACGCAGGAGTCTCCTTTCCCCACAAGGAAGCCTTCTGGGGGAGAGGTGAGGCTTTCTCTGCTTGTGTTCCTCCCGCCCGCAGCGCCTGGCCCTGGTGGGTGCTCCGTCGGTATGAATGAACGCAGACGATGGATGGATGGACGGGTAGACGGATGGATGGGTGGACCCGGGGGGAAGGGAATGGGAGGTCCATGAGTGTGCCTGAGGACTGAACCCTTCCAAGTGAGGGGTCTGGGGGGGACAAGTCCGGAGGGGACAAGGGGAAAAGTGAGAGAAGAAGTAAAACCGAAAGGGGGTGTATAGTGGTGGAGAACCCACTGAGATGGGGGGTGAGAAATCTGTGCTCCTGCTTGGTGCTTTGGAGGGAGGCCCAGGATGGGGGGAGGAGGGAGGCCCAGGAGGAGGAGGGAGGCCCAGGAGGGGGAAGAGGGGGGAGGAGGAGGATCTAGCCTTTTGGAAAGTGGAGCCCTGGGGGCAGCACGTGCTGACTCACCCTCCTGCCTTCAATTTTCCCTGTTTCCTGGGGATTCTCATTTTATTTTCGGGAAAGCTGCCTGCTCCGTGACTAATTTGTTCTTAAACAAACCAAACCCAGGCAGTGGGGAGGCCAGGCGGGGCCTGAGTCACTCTCCGCCCAGGGGGACCACACCTCAGCTGTGGGCCTGGCGGCCCTCCAGCTCTCCGGAGCCCCTCCGCCCTGGGCTGATGGTGGCTCTGTGGCTCCTCAGGGAAGCAGCGCTCCCAGAGGGGGGCCCCCTGGGCTGTGAGGGATCCCCAGCTGCTGAGTGAGCTCCTTGACGGTCCACTGCCTAAAACAGTTCCTGGCCTGGGGCCAGGGCTCAGTTAACATTTGTTGACTGACTGACTGATGACTCTGCTCCCTCCCTTTTCTCTCCCACCCACCCTCCTGGAAGCCTTCCCTTCCCAGGTCCTTCAGTTTGGTGACACACACTTTACTAGCAGTTACCTTCCCCAGACCACATCCTAAGCCAGACACAGTGATAAATGCGATCTCTCTGAATCTATATGATGGTCACCCTGTCTGCCCCTGGGAGGGGGGAGTGCTATTAACCACTTTGCCATTAGGGTCGCTCAGGGGTGTCCATCTGGTAGCACAGCCAGGCCAGGAAGCAGCCTGCAAACAAGGCACTCCGCCAGGCAGGGGGGAGATTGCTAGCCCCTCAGTTTTACAGAAGAGGAACCCGAGGCTCAGAGAGGCCCAATGTCCATAAGTAGCAGATGCCTCATTTGAACCCAGACCTCGGAGCACCCTCCAGTACCCTAGCTTGCCATCTGTTACCCTGCACCACAGGCTATGAAGTGGGAACCGGCCGGAGGGGCAAGAAGACAGGGACGAGAATGGGAGGCGGGGGTGGGGGTTGGGGGGGGTGGGAAGGGCGCCGGTGTTTTCTCTAGCTCCGGGCCCAGTCCACATGCCCCCATTAAACCCAGGTCTCCCAAGTGGGACTTGGGCAAGACAAGCCATGCGCAAATGGAAGAAACGTATTTCTGTAGTTCATCTCATCCTTTTAAAATTTCAACCTTTGTGGGTACGTAATATCCACACCTAATAATAAAATGATCTTTATAAATAAATAGATCGACATGCTCTGGAACATGGGAGAACAGTGCCCCCCGCCCCAATCGGCTGCACCCAGGGATTTTCGCAGAGCAGTTCCCAGTAAACCCTTCTGTGTCCGAAGTGAAGGCGCGCCAAGCCCGGTGTCGCGGTGGGAGGCGGCGGGGAGCGGCTTCCTCGCGGGTCAGGACGCAGACCCCCCTATACCCCGCCCGCCCCGGGCCCCTGCACCCCCACCTCCGCCCACCCCACCCCCGGGCAGGACCGGACGTGGCTGCGGCCGGGCTCCCGCCCCCGCCCGGCGCGGCGCGTCACCTTCCCCTGGGTGGCCACCCGGCGAGGGCCCGGGAAGGGGGGCGGCTCCGCGTGGCCGCCGCCGGCCTCCCGCGCCACGGCTTCCCCGCGGGTCCCCCCGGAGGCCCCGAGCTCCCCGCGCCGCGCCCAGGGGCGGGTGGCCAACCCCGCGCCGCCCTCGTCCGCCAGGCGGCCCGCGGCGTCCCCGGCCTCTCCCGGCCCGAGCGCGTTTCCTGGAAGCCGGAGCCGAGCCGGCCCGAGTTCCCGACAGCCGGCCGGGCGCGGAGAACTGCGGCCGGGCCGCCGCCGCGGCTGCGTCCGCACCAGCGATCAATGCGCCCCGGCTCCCCTCCGGCTCCCCCCACCCCCGCCCCCGGCTCCCCCCCCGCCCCCGGCTCCCCTCCGGCTCCACCCCCGCCCCCGGCTCCCCCCCCCGCCCCCGACTCCCCTCCGGCTCCCCCCACCCCCGCCCCCGGCTCCCCTCCGGCTCCCCCCCCCCCGCCCCCGGCTCCCCTCCGGCCAGCGCAGCGTCAGCGCTTGCAGGGCACCGCGCCTGCCCCGCCGTGCACAGGGTCCTGGGCTCCTGTCGGGATGGCTCCCTGCCTCCCTCGCGGGGGGGTGGGGGGTGGGGGGCGGGGGGCGGGTAACGGCTCTCTTGACCCGCTTGCCGGTCTGCAAATGAGAGCGACAGTCACCCCACCCCCACCCCAGGGCCGTGGGGAGCAGGGACCAGGGCCCAACCTGCACACCCCCGGACGCCGGCGCTTAACTGCCACGCGGAGGACCCTCGGTCTCCTGCCGGGCCCACTGACCCGAGGTTGGACCAGCCAGCAACTCCCCACTAAACTAGCACCTTCTCTGCCTGCCCCGCCTCTGCTTTTTAAAAAGGGGTTCAGTGGCTAGTTCCTCGGAAAGAACTAAAAGTAGCCGCAGCAGGGACTTTCTCAAGCCCAGGGTGGCCCCACCATGTGCGTCTCCAGTGCGGGGGCTGCGAGTGAGGGGGCGAGGGGAGGGGAGGCTCCTGGGCCTCTCAGCTCACCAGCCACCCCCTCCTGATTTGGGAGGCTAGTGGGGAGAGAGAGGGAAGGAGGGAGAGGACAAAGACCAGGTGGGAGACAGGGAGACTGAGCCTTTGGGAAGGTGCAGGGATAGCACCCCCCATGTGGGGGAGGTCTGATGGGGGAACAGGTAGGGAGGGCTGGGGATCCAGCCCCTTCCTGGGAGCCTAAAGCAAGAAGAGACCAGGGGGGCCTCTTGGTCTCACTAGGTGGCCTGTGTCAGCCCTCAGCTTCTGCCTTTTCCAGGGATGCTCGGAAGAGGAGTTCTAATGGGGGGGCCTGGTGCCAGAGTCAGAACAGGAATCTTAAGGGGGTTGCAAGCCCTCTGCAGTGTTTCCTCCCCTCTCGTCCCCCTCGGGGGCCCTCTGTTCACCTGGGATAGGGAAAAGAGGCCCAGCTCTGGAAGAAACCGGGGTCTGAGCATCCCCCCACCAACTCCCTCCCCCACAGCTGCCTCAGACTCACTGGTACAGGGTCCGGCTTCCGGGGGGGGGGGGGGGATGGCAAAATGGAGGGGTAACTCCAGGGGGCCACCCAGGCAGAATCAGAGGTGGGGACTGGGGAGTTTGTGGGAGTTTGGGATGGGATGGTAAGTGTTGCTTGTGGACCTTGAATTCACTGCAAGGTGTCTGGAAAGGGCAGGTAGAGGATTTGAGTCCCTTGGTGTTGCTGGTGACTGGGCAGTGTTCATTTGAAGGGGACCCAGGTCTCAGGCCAGGCATGAGGTCTTAGCTTTCTGAGGGGCCGTCCTGCTCCAAGGTCCAAGGAGGATGACCTTCCTGCCCAAGTCTTCATGGCCCTCTGGCCCCACCTGGAGAGCGTCCATTTGTGCATTCGGGCATTCATTCCGGCTTTTGCCCAGCCTTGCTGAATGCCCCAGCAGGGTGGGTCTCCTGCTAACCCTGGAGATACCGGTAAGGGGCTCGGGCTGATAGAGGGGAACCCCTGTTATAAGCGTGGACAGCCATGACCGCGGCGGAGAGGCTCCCAAGTTGGACTTTGGCACCAGAAATCAATTCTTTTAGTTGAAGTGTGTATTAATTTTAGATTCACATGTAGTTGTAAGAAATAATATGAAAAGATTTCATATACACTTTGCTCAGCTTCCCCCAATGGTAACATTTTTCAGGACTGTAGGACAATATCACAGCCCGCATTTTGGCTTTCACGTAGTCTGCACGTCTTATTCAGAGGCTTACTTGTATCCATTTGGTTTATAGAATTCTCTCACCTGTGTTGCTCCCCAGCATTGCCCTTTGTAATCCGTCATATCCCTGCCAGCATCCTGTGGCCCCCAGGCCCCAGCAGAAGCCAGTTTTGAGCAACAGGTAGGAGGTGCTTGCTTCCATATCCCCTCCTCCCAGCCCTGGTGGCCTGTTTTTTTTTTTTTTTAAGATTTTATTTATTTATTTGAGAGAGAGAGAGAGAGAGCACATGAGAGGGGGGAGGGTCAGAGGGAGAAGCAGACTCCCTGCTGAGCAGGGAGCCTGATGCGGGACTTGACCCCCGGACTCCAAGATCATGATCTGAGCCGAAGGCAGTAGCTTAACCAACTGAGCCACCCAGGCATCCTGGCGGCCTGTTTGTTAGTGCCTCAACCTCCCCTCAAGAGCAGGGGCTGTGTCTCCCGCATCTCCCAGCCCAGGCTTGGCATACTTCCTGTTCTGACAGCATGTGTTTGCCAGAGGTGGGGGCCATATGTAAATCAGTCACTGGGAGGACAGACTCCCCCAGAATAGTGTGTATAGTGTGCTTTGTTTATGGGGTTTGTTGGGGGGGGAAGGAAGGAAGAAAGTGTGTGTTTGCGGTGTGTGGGCACATGCTTGGGTATACACAAAATATACATGGAAGGATACATTTGAAAACAAACTTTAGCCTTGGTTGCTTCTGTGATGGGGCAGCAGGTGGCTGGGGATGGGGTGCATTCCTTCCCCGTGTCTGCTCTAATGAATTAGTGGCTTCCAACAATACAAACTTAATATCTTATAGCGCCGGAGACCAGAAGTCTCAAATGGATCCACAGAACTGTGTTCCTTCTAAGAGTTCTACAAGAAAATCTGTTTCCTTGCCTTTTTTCCAGCTTCTAGAGGCTGCCCATATTCCTTGGCTTGTGGCCCCTTTGTTGTGCACTGACTGTTTGGATCCCCCCACCCCATTCATATGTTGAAGCCTTAACCCCCAATGCCAAGGTGTCTAGAGGTGGGGCCTTTGGGAAGTGGTTAGGGTTAGATGAGGTCTTAGGGGGCCTAAGAGGGGATTAGTGCCCTTATAAGAAAAGGTGCATTATTATTATTATTATTAGTGCCCTTATAAGAAGAATGGCCCGAGAGCTTGCTCTCTCTCCCCCCGGTGAAGACACAGTGAGAAGGTGGCCGTCTGCAAGGAAGGCAGAGGGCTCTCACCCAAAATCTCATTGACTGGACCTGACCTTGGACTTCCCACCTCCAGAACGGTGAGAAATAAATGTCTGCTGTGGAAGGCCCCCATCCGTGGTATTTATGATGGCAGCCGAGCTGCCTGAGACCCCCTCCCTCCATCTGCAGAGCCCCGAGACAGCACCTTCTCACGCCTCTCTGGCCTCAGGCATCCCTCTTATAAGCACCCTCCTGGTCACATTCAGGGCCCACCTGGATGATCCAGGATACTCTCCCATCTCGGGGTCCTTCATTACATCTGCAGAGTCCCTTTTGTCCAAAGAAAATGACATAGTCATAGGTCTGGGGATTGGGGTATGGACATCTTTGGGGGCCCCAAGCCAACACTTTCTCAGTCAACACTTGTCACATCTGAATTTTGAAACCTATGACTATTACCTATTCAAAAACACAATGCCGGTCAAACAAAGGGGAGCTGAGAGGGGTCCAGAGGTGCCCAGGACAGTGTGTGTGTGTGTGTGTGTGTGTGTAAGCTGGGATTGATCCCTCCCTGGGCCTCTGTCTCTCCTCTGAGGGAATGAGACAGCATGGACGGATCCAGGCCTGCGGGACTACGAGCAGCCCATTGGAACCCTCGGAGCCTCAGCCTTCGCCCTGTTCGAGGGGATGGCGGTATTTCCTTTCCTCCTGGCGCTGCCTCAACATTAAAGCACTGAACACACCCACAATGCACGCCAAGCAGTAACTCGTGGTGGTGGAAAAATCGTGATAAAGCCACCTGTTGGCTTTGTGTCCCTAAGTTGTCCCCTCTGCTGTCCCCAGCACAGAGACGGAGCAGTCCCTCCCCGCCATGTCCCACTTGTCTGCAAAGCCTCTGTGCCCTCGGTGCCCTTGGGGTGCTTGCTCCCTGTGGGCAGCTGCGGGGCAGGAGGCCTGGGAGTCAGCACCCCCCCCCCCCGACGGCATCCCAGACACACCTGGATCTCACTTCGGCTCCATGTCATGCAGGTGGCACAGGAGGCCCCAGGACTGACAGCACGACCCTGGAGTCCGGTGACAGTGGCTTGGAACCCAGACTGGCCGCCCCTTGCCTTGCCTACCAGCAGCACCCCTTTCCCTTCCTTCAGTAAGAGCAACCGGTTTCCATTCCTTGGCCATTCTTGGTCTTTGTGGCTCATTGATGGGACTGATGTCCCCCAGCGCCCTGGAGGCGGGGCACGACCCAGAACAGTCCAATCAGGACAGGGTCCCGGCACTGCACGGGGACAAGACGGGCGCAGGCTGAGGCTGACCTAGATCTACTGCCACCACCTCTGTCACCACTAGGGAGAGCGTGCCGGGCGGGGGAACCCAGCAGGGGAAGCAGAAGGCAGGGATGGACAGAGACCTATTCCAGGTGACGCTGCTGGTGAATCTGGAGCCACCTGTGCCCGAGGCCTCATCCTCCTCCTGTGTGTTTTCATCATGTGAGCCAACTCCCTTCCGAAGGCCTCGGCCGGTCCGCATGGGCCTTGCAGAGTCCTGACCAGCAGCTACTAGCTGAGCCACTGGCCACTGGCCACACGTGCTCTGTGCCCGAGAAGAGACGGTCAATTCTACCTGCTCGTGCGATTGCGGTGACACTAAGTAAGATAAAGAACCAAAGGACCTAATTAGATACATGGTAAGCTACAAAGTAACAACTCCGTAGCAGGTGGGTTAGAGTCCTGTTAATCTCAAGAATATGATGAGTCAAATGAGACTGCTCCATCTTACCAGGAAAAAAACCCTAAGAAACCAGCCTTAGCTGGACTGAGATCAGAACACCCATGTCACGGGGAAGAGACCCTCTCCCTCTCCAGAGCCAGGACTGCAGGGGACACATGCTAAAGGGACCCCAATGTGTCATACCCCCTATAATTGCCTCCTCACGAGTGTGGGCAGAAGCTGGGACTAGGGTCTAAGGAACAGAACCCGGCAAAGGGGACAGGATGTCCCTCCATAGTTATATCTAAGACTGCCTCTCAGCAGAATGGAACGAGAAGGTCCCCCTGCTGAAGGGAGGGGGCAGCCGTGTTGAGGGAGCCCATGGGGTCAGGAGCTGTGGCCTCTAGAACTTGAAGATGGCCTCTGGCCTCCAGCCAGCAAAACCCCCAGGCCCTCAGTCACACAGCTACAAGGCAAGGAGTTCTGCCCATAACTGGAAAGAGCTTGGAAACGGATCTTCTTCAGGGGAGGCTTCAGATGAGGACCCAGCCCAGCCACCACTTTGATGGCAACCCTGTGAGATCTTTTTTTTTTTTTTTTAAGATTTTATTTATTTATTCATTAGAGACAGAGAGAGAGAGGCAGAGGGAGAAGCAGGCTCCCAAGGAGCAGGGAGCCCGATGCGGGACTCGATCCCAGGACCCTGAGATCATGACCTGAGCCAAAGGCAGACGCCTAACCATCTGAGCCACCCAGGCGCCCAACCCTGTGAGATCTTAAGCAGAGGACCCTGCTGAACAGCCCTCAGACCTCTGACCTAAGGCAACCGCCCGATATTAGATATATGTGTTGTGTAAGCCTCTAGATGTGTGATCATTTGTTCACAGCGTAGAAAACAAGCATAGCATCCCACTGATGTCTGAGGTGTCAGAGAGAAGAGGCACCAGAAGGGACAAAAGGCCAGGACCCCCTTCTCACTGGGTTGGGGTACAATTTCCCAGGGCCTGCTGGTTATTTTGGCTGGATTACAACTCACCTCTCCCTTGGTTCAGAGCAACCATCGCTCAGTATTGCTCAGTTTCTGTGGGTCGGAACTTGGGAGTGGTTCGGCTGGGCCTTCTGGCCTGAGGCTTCTCATGGGGCTGCAGTCCTCTGAAGGCTGGATGGGGCTGAGGACCCACTTCCAAGGTGGTCCATACACATGGCTGTTGGTTGGAGGCCTCTGTTCTTCTCCCCATGAGCTTCCCCATGGGGTAGTTGGAGTATCCTCATGGAATGGGGGACTGGCTTCCCCCAGAGCAAGTGGGCCAAAAGACCAAGATGGAAGAAGCCACACAGATCAGCTTGGTTCAGTGTGGGAGCAACTGAATACCAGGAGACAGGTTCCCTGGGGCCATCTTGGAGACGGGCCACCACACAAGGATGGCAGAGGGGACAGAGGCTGGTGGGGGCTTGGAGAGGGCTATGGAGGGAAGAGTGGGACACTTGTAAAGCTAGGGAATTCTCTGAACATACCCCAAGGCTCTCAGGTGTGAGGCTACCCCCGGCTCCTGCCTCATGTGGCTCAGGGAATGAGCTGGGAGAAGAAAATCACAGGTCCCAGTCTTGCTTCTCCAAACTGGGCCCTGGACCCCAGGGGAAGTGGGGCCCTGCAGAAAGGGGCCAGGGAAAGGAGGGGTATCCCATCTGGGCCGTTTGTCCCTGCTGCAGGCCCCAGCTGCTTGCTCTCCTCTCTGAGCTTCTGTCTTGGTGCAGGTGAGGCTTACTTGCTCCCTCAGGTGAGAGCTGGGGGACCGAGGACGGGGGTGAAACGGGGTTAATACAGTACTGTGTGTGGCTGTCAGCCAGGCCCCATGCAGCATTCCCCCACTGAAACCTTGAAGGACTCTCACGTGGGGTGCTGTCCACCCACATTATCCAGATAAGGAAACTGAAGCTTGGAGGTCCCGGAGCAAGTGGAATAGAAACGGGGGAAGAAACCTCCCTGATACTTCAGGGGGTCTGATCAAGGCTCCTGCACCCAGGGCCTCCCTCCCTGGGCTGAGCAGGGAGCTAGAGGAGGGAAGAAGGAAGGAGGGGGAACTTTGGGGAGGTCAGTGCCTGGCAGGGGGTGCGGGGCTGGGGCCTGGGGGGCTGAGCCTGGAAGAGGGCTGGAAACCCTGCTCCAAGCCATCTGAGACCCTGGCTCTGACCGCCAATGGCCGGCTCGCTGGCTGCCAACCCTCCCCACAGTGACCTGGGGAGTTCAGGCTCACATCCCTGGCGGCACAGGCTTCCCGGAACCATGCTGCTGTCTCTTTGGGGGCTAGCCCAACCTGGCTGCAGTGGGGAGGCCCCCACGTTGGGCGGAGATGAGTGGCAGGCACCCCTGCAGCGGGCTGGGCGCTCAGATCTCCTCTGCCCCATGCCCTGGGCTCCGGGTCCCGGAAGAGGTCCCTGTGTTTCAAGGGGAGGGTCTGGTGGGAGTGCCGAGGCCAGATTGGAGCGGTCAAGAGAGCTTGTGGACCTGGAATTCCAGGCAGGAAGAACAAGATCCCCTCTGGGTCGGGGAGATCAGGTAGACTGTGCGGGAAGCGCAGGTGGGGAGGAGTTGCAGAAGTGAGAAAAACCTGAGGCACTCCCTGCGAAGCCAGGAAGGGCTGGTCCTGCCCCTCCTACAAGCTCACTGCCCCGCTGGGTCCCACCTGCGTGTCCTCACCACGGCCCCCCCCACGAGGGGGCCTATCCCTACTTGCCGCTTACCAGCAGGGAGAGGTAGAGCCGCTTGTCCATGTCACTCCCCACACTCAGTGACTGCAGATCCCAAATCCAATATGTGGGCTGCCATCTGGGAGGACAGTACACCCCTCTGGGCACCCCCATGCCCTGCACACCTGCCTACATATCCTGGAATACTTGGGCAAACTCAGGTCTATGATCCCTGGTCTCGGTGCTACTCTCGCACGCACGCACATGCACACAGGGATCCCCTCACCCGGGTCACCTGAGCTCCCAGAACTGCACAGGGAAAGGTGACCTTTGCTCCCAAGGAGCACGGCTACCTTCCTAGCGTCCTGCCCACCCCACCCCCTGCTGCCCATCTCAACCGCTGTCCCAGACAACAGCTCAAGGGATCCAAAACATAGGCACAACAGCACCCAGGCTCAAGGCAGGCTGGGGCTGGGACCTCCGCAGAGCTCGCCTGCAAATAGGAGGCCAAAGAATGCAGTGGGCAGCTTGGCAGAGAGACAGACAGAGCCACCGGGCTTCCAGTAACACGCTGGCCCTGCCCTGACCTCGCCCACCGGCTCAGACACTCAGCCAATAGATGTCCAGTCCCGGGCCCCAGCCCCCGGCAGCACCCAGCCCAACCCAGCTGCTGCAAGGCCCTCCTGGTCACCACCCCTTGCCCCCGGCGACAACAGGCCTGGAACTGGATCCCTGTCCTCTCAGGGTTCCAGCCTTGCCGGGAAGGGGGTATCTTTATCTTCCCTTCCTGGAAGCCCACTGGCTCCAGTCCCACCGTGGCCCAGCAGCATCGCTTCCACACCCGGCCACCTCCCCCCTCAGCACTGATTCCCTAGAAGAGGGGCAGCCACTCCAGGGAGGCTGGCTTGGCCATTCGGTGCCCTGCCGGGGTTAGGGTCCCATGTCCAGCTTGGACCTAACACTGCCCACACAGTCCTCCTTGCTCCCCTCCTGAACCCTGCTTGCCTCGGGGTATTGGCCAAAAGACACCCCACCCCCCGTTGAATTAGAGGACCTGAAATAGAGTCGATGCGTCCCCTTGTCAGAGGAGGAGACCGAGGTCCAGGGGGAAGGTGGAAGTGGCCTAGGGGTCCCGGAGCGAGTTGCAAACAGGGCAGTACAGGACCCGGGGCTGTTCCTGACACTCTAGAGTATTTTCCTGGCACCAGGGGTGAATCAGGAAATGACCCGTGTGGGGACTCCTTAATCGCTTGACCTCCTGGGTGCAGGGATGGGCAAAGTAGGTGTGTGGCTCTGAGAAAGTGAGTCCAGAGAACTGAGGGGAGCAGGACTGCTGAAAGCAGCCAGACAGGAAGGGCTTGAGTCCTCCCTCAGAGGGGGAGAACCCACCTGCAGGGCCTCTCCCAGGAAGAAGGCTGGGGGCAGGACATGTGATAAGGAGCTGAGTCAGCAACAGGGAAGGAGAGGACTGACTGGATCTCATGCTGCAGGGTGGCCCTGGGGCCTCAGGAACTGGGTGAGGGCTCAGTGAGCCCCTCACCCAGGAATGAAAACAGTCAGGTCAGGCCTGACATCATTTCCTGGCCAAGAAGACACTTGGCACGGACTGTTCAACCAAGACTGGGATGGCGGGCAGTGGGCGGGGGAGAGACGGAGGAAGTCTGCTGTCTGCCCCCCAGGGGCTCGTAGCTTGGGCGTGGGGGGGGAGGGTGGAGTGGGCAGGCAAGAAGAGGAACAGTGAGCACCCAGTTAGCTGAGATGCAGTCAGAGTGCAAGAAATGTCAGAAAGAAGGAGTAAAGGAAACCGAGTGTGCAGAGGTGAGCATGTTTGCAGCCTGTTGAGGAAAAGCCCAGGAAACTTTCCCACCCTGGGGAAGGGGTGGTAGGGACGCAGCCTGACAGGGTGAGTGCAGCGTCAGCAGTCATGGGGGTCCCGGGGTCAGGGGGTACAGTGCTTGGAACCACACAAAGGCAAGAGGTGAAAAACGATGGGAGGTGTGAACTTCTCAGGCCTGTGATTTTAGCTGCAAGTAACAAAACAGAGTCTTAAACCATAAAGATACCCGTTGTTTATATAACAAAAAGTCCAAAGGTTAGGGGTTCCAGAGCCAGTTGGAAGCTCAAGGATATCGGCAAGAGCCCAAGTTCTCTCTGTCCTTCCATGACACCAGTTTAGGTTTACTAATCATCCTGCTGCCCAGAACTTTTCCAATTTTAGTGCTGAATGTCCTGCATCACGGGAAATCAAATCCAGACTTGTGGTCACCCTGGTATTGGAGATGGTGCTCCTCATGGGCACAAAAGAGCTGCCGTAGCTCCAAGCATCACACCCTCACAGGACAGGGCACTGAGTAAGAGGAAATAGGGTGGAAGCAAAACAGATTTCTCTTTGAACGTCTCAGAAGCCCTCAGAGACCCTCCCCTCACACTTCATGGGCAAGCTTGGGTTGCATGGTCGCCCTAGATCAGTCGCCGGCAAAAGAGTAGGGGGTTGGTATGACTTGTTTAGACCCATCACTATCCATCCCCTGGGGAACCCAGGGGCACAGGAAAGCACAGGATTTCTCTGGATTAGAGCTGAGAGCACAGGGCTTCAGGGAGGCCTGGATGGTAGGAAGTGGGGTCATGAGGGGCCTGGAAGAGGAGGAGGGTGGTAGCAGAAGAAACAGGGGGCATCTGAGCTGGAGGCCAGTGAGGCTGGAGCCCAGGGAGGGGGGTGGGAAGAGGGGCAGAGGCTCAATCCCTCTAGGGCCTGGGAGGCCCTGGAGAGGAGCTTGGTTTATTTCCCCCAAGGAACCTGCAGACGCTGGAGCCCCATAACGGGAGAGTAACTAAGCACATGGTCAAGTTTGTGTTTCAGGAAGCCTGTTCCTGCTGCCGTTGGGCCAAGACCCCAGGGAGTGGAGGACAGAGCCCCAGGTGGAAGGTCTTTGTCCTGCAGGGGAGAGGCAGAGGGGTGAGGAGGGCCTGGCTTCTGGATCTGCTCTGAAGGGAAAGCAGGCTTTGCTGCTGGACCGGTCGATTGTGGGGTGCAAGAAGAAGAGAGGGCAGGGCAGAGGCACTGCTTGGGGCTTGGGTAACTAGCGGCCTTGTTTACCAGTTGCTGAGCCGGGAAGAGTATGAGAGGAGGGTGAGGGGGTGTGAGTAGATCCAGGCATCAGCCTGGCTGGATGCAGACAGATGGACGGACACAAGGATGGTGTGTGACTAGTTTCACCATCACATCTGGGCCAGCCACCTGGGCTCACACCCAGTAGAGTGAAGCAGGTTGTTGGGGGGGGCGGGTAAAAAATCTTTTAAATTGAAGGGCACCTGGGTGGCTCAGTCGGTTAAGCATCTGACTCTTGGTTTCTGCTCGGGTCATAATCTCGGGTCGTGGGATTGAGCCCTGCTTTGGGCTCTATGCTCAGAGGGAAGTCGGCTTGGGAGTGTCTCTCTCCTTCTGCTCCTCCCCCCGTTCATGCTCTCTCTCTCAGATAAATAAGTAAATCTTTTAAAAAATTCTTTTAGGGGTGCTGGGTGGCTCAGTTGTTTGGCATCTGCCTTCGGCTCAGGTCATGATCCCGGGGTCCTGGGATCGAGCCCCGCATCGGGGTCCCTGCTCGGCAGGAAGCCTGCTTCTCCCTCTCCCACTCCCCCTGCTTGTGTTCCCTCTCTTGCTGTGTCTCTCTCTGTCAAATAAATAAATAAAATCTTAAAAAAAAAAAAAAAAAGCTGAGGTGACCGGCTGCCCATCCCCAGGACACTTTGCTCTTGTGATGAGATGTGGGGGTGACTCCGGGGATGGCCTATGGTTCCCACTCCTGGACTGATAACCAGCCACACAGTCTGATCCATCAGCCCCACCGGCCATAGCAAAGCTCAGGGCCGGGGGCCAGAGGGCACCACCTGCTCCGGGACCGAGGGGAGCCACCAGCTCTGCTGGGCTTCCCGGATAGACCCGGCTCCTCCCCGGCTCCCCCACACCTGAGCAGCTCAATCTGGCTACACAAAATACCGAACTTGTTGGCTGGGCTTTCCTGCCATAGATCTGGGGGTCTGCAGAACAACATTCTCCCCTCACCCCCCCAAGTCCTGCTCCCTTCCTGGGTCAGCTCACAGCCCCCCCCCCCTTCACCAGCAGCCACCTTTCTGCTCTCCTCACACCTCCCTGCTCTCTTCATTCACAGCGTGGAACAAAACCCAAAACCCAAATCCATCTCCCGCTGAGCCACCCCGGGGCAAGGAGCACCACAGGCCCCTCCTCAGCCTGCCCTGCATTAGTCCCTTCTCCCCCACCTCCCCCACAGACATGCCAGCCATCTCCCCCCTCAGACACCCTCCTCCGATCGCCCTCAGCTCACGCAGGCAAAGGGCCACCGCCCCATCTGCGCTCCTGTCTGTGTCTTCGTCTCGTGGGGGGCGGTTCTCAGCTGCTCACCCTTCCCCACAGACTCAGCCACACTCTCCCCCACACGGAGCAATTCTCGGGGACACCAGCTGGGTGTCTCACAATTTAAGTCAGTTCTGATACCATCTACCTGGACACCGATCCCACAGGTCAAGGGCTCCGTCCCACGAGACCACCTCACAACTTCAGCTGCAGGTAGGGCGTCCCCAGGTAACCCACAGCTTCTGTCTGACTTGACACAAATCAGAGGTTCCCATGATGCCCTCCTCCTTGGATTTGAGCGTTTGCTAGAGCAGTTCATAGAACCCACGGAAACATCTACATTTACCAGTTTATTATATAATGAAGGATATGCCAAAGACTAGAGATGAACAACCAGCTGTGGGGACGCGGAGGGCGAGGTCCGGGAGGGTCCTGAGCACAAGAACTTCTGTCCCCATGAGGTTGGGGAGCTTCACCTTCCTGGCACGCGGATGTGTTCACCCACCCAGAGGCTCTCCAAACCCTACACTTTTGGGATTTTATGGAGGCTTCCTCACGTAGGCACGATCGATCATTAATCCAATTCCAGCCCCTCTCCTCTCCTAGGAGGATGGGGGCTGGGGCTGAATATTCCAAGCCTCCACCATGACTAGGTCTTTCTGGTGGCCAGTCCCCATCTCGGAGCCCAGCCAGAGTCGCCTCTTTAGGACAAAAGACACTCCTATCACCTAGGAAATTCCAAGGGATTTAGTACCCCCCGCCCCCCCACCCCCATCAGGAACTCCGGGGGTCAAAGACCAAATACTAAAATACTAGAACAAAAGAAGTTCCTAGTGCTCTTATCACTTAGGAAATTGCAAGGGTTTTTGGAGCTTGGTGCCTGGAGCTGAGGGCAGAGACCAACATGCATCTTTTTCTGCCTCTTCACCTGGGCTCTCCTCACCATTTCAAACTCCAGGACAGCAAAGATAGACGCGAGAAGCCGCATGCTCTTTGTGAACAGTCGCAAAGTATGGTGGACGGGCAAGCGGGTCCATGCTGCGGGACTCTCCTGGGTTTCTTACAAGCTGTTTCTCAGCCCAGGGGTGAGTATCACTGTCCAGGGCAGCTAACACCAAAGATTTTGTGTTGGCCACGTTGGCCTGGGAGCCTGGCCAGGACCCACAAGTGGCCTTATTTCTGGGATAGTCTCCCCATTTAACGAATGGACCCCCTCCTGTGGTCTGCCGGGTGGCTCGTCAGCAGGCGCCAAGGTTGGCGGCTGAGATTAGCATGCATTTCGCAACCCGGAGACTGTGTGCCCCAGGGGACCCTGACGTGCGCCTTGGAGGGTCCAGCATCTCACATTCCCTGCTGTGGCCCAACAGAGAATGACAGACGCTTATCCCGTCTCCCTTCAGACGGCTCCTCTCCCAGCGTCCTGGGGGACTCTGCTCCCCTCTTTCTGCTTCATGCCCCTGCCTGCCTCCTGGACCACCGCTGATGGTCACTCACTGATCCCCAGAAGGCCTCCATCCCTGGGGGCACCCTGAGGACCGCCAACGCCCTCCCTGGAATCATCATTACCTGTGTTTGCCTCGCCCCTGCGAGGTGGCCCTGAGGGCCGGGTGAGGGTCAAGCAGGACAAGCTAGAGTGGATCTGAAGGCCCTCTGGAAGAGGGGTTCTGGAGAGATGCAAAAGGCGGTGGCCCCCAGCCAGGATTCTGAGCTGGTGTCCTTGAGCTGGGACAGCAGAGCATTCCGAGGGTCGGGACTCAGTGCATGCTGGGTTTGGGAAAAACCGACCCAAGACCAAGGGCAGAAAGGTCAGAGAAGTAAAATGGTAGACGTCGGGCCAGTATTAGTACTCTCCCAAGGCAGAATGTTCCAGAAATCAAGTAGGCTGCCTCACCCAGCAGTGGGCCCCATGGCTGGGCACTCTTCTCAGGAATGTGGAGAGGGGTCCACCGGGGTGCTAAGGATTAGACTTCAAGTAAACAAGAACTGAGCTCAAGCCTGCTTAAACATCCGGGAGCATTTGTTGATTTGCTCAGGGTTCCAGAAAGTCTCATCCCTCCAGAGGAGCAGCCAAAGACAGGCGCCCTGCTTCTGGGGACTGGCTGCATCCTCAGCAGGCTCTCCGCACGGTTGCAAGATGCCCTGGAGAGTCGTACAGCCATGTCTCTCGGGATCCCAATCCAACAGAAGAGTGAGTCTCCTTCTAGCAACAGCAGAAGCCCAGGATTTGCATCTGTGGGGCCCACCCGGCCTGAGCTATGTGTCCCAAATTACTGTGACCCCGGGGTGGGGGGGGTGTCAAGATCCAGGCTAGCCCTGCAACCACGGCTAGAGTTGGGTCAGTGGGGAAAGCGAATGATGTGGAGGAAAGCAGCAGGTGTCCGAGCTGAGGGGGTGAACCGGGTGAGCCCTAACGTTCTACGACTATAGGACATCCCCAGCAGCACTATGTGTCCACATCATCATAGGTGTCTGGTAACTGATTTTGTGGGAGTAAATGAAAGAAAGAGAAGAAGGGAAGCAGGAGGGAAGGAAGGAAGGAAGGAAGTGAGGGGAGGGGAGGAGAGGGAGGGAAGGGAGGGGAAGGAGGGAGAGAAGGAGAGGGAGGGAGGGGAGGGGAAGGAGGGAGGGAAGGAGAGGAGAGGAGAAGGAGGGAGGGAAGGAGAGGGGATGGGAGGGGAGGGGGAAGGGAAGTGAGGGGAAGGGAGGGGAGGGGAGGGAGGGGAGGAGAGGAGGAGGGAGGGAGGGATGACTGTAGTCCCCACATTTCTTTGATGTCCGCCTTGAGAACTGTGGCAGACCCTGGGTGGGGCAAATTCTCAAGTCAGAGAGGGCAAGCCAGTGTGAGGGACACAGCCAGACCAGGCTTCGGGGGTGGGGGAGACCAGGTGGAAAAGACCAGTCCCCATTCCCTCCCACCCGGTGACCTCAGGTGACCCTTGGCTGGTCTGTACCTGGAGAGTGTCCACGGCACCTGGGGAAATCCCGCGGGCCCAGGTGGATCTTGGGGAGGCCTCTACCTAGGCTCCAGCTCCGGCTTCCCCACTGGCCAGAGCACTACCTGTTCCCAGAACACCGCCTGCCCCAAAGGCCATTCACCGTGGACGGGCAGGTCCCCAGCCCGGGGCCCAGGGCCCAAGGATGAGAGATGGCGGCTGAAAGCCCCTGCCTGTGTGCCTCCACTCGGGCTGTCCGAGGCACAGATGCTGTGGGTGCTCTGTGAAGGGGTCCAAAGGTAGGTGAACGGATGGGGCTGGGACAGAGGCTTCACTTTGAAGCGTGAGGCTTTCTCTTTCCAGATGGTGCAAAGCTTAGGCTGAGTCTCCGATTTGTTGGCCTTGGAGGTCCCACCTACCCAGGGGAACTGGAGGTGCAGGGGGCCTCAGGGATCCCTGTAAACAATCCTGGGTAGATGCAGGGATGGAGCAAAGAACCAGGAGAGCTGACCCGGCCACAATGAGCGCAGGGCCCAGTGCAGAATGAAAATGCCCGGCCCCTGCTTCAAAAAGTATGGAGGATTTTCAATGCTCTGATATTGCTCATTGCTCAATGCTCAATGTTCTGACAGCAGAGCATTAAGCCCAGCACAGGATCCTTTTGAGTGTGGGGCGCCTCCCTGGGTCTGAAGCCAGCCCTGCAGCAGAGGAAGGAGGACGCAAAGTCCATGGTGAGGGGAGCAAGAGCATTAAAATGGGCATCTTAGATGCACACACGATACGTACAAAGGCCCTGTGGCCACATGCCAAGGGCTCTAACAAGAGCCCTGGAGTCTGCCTCCCTTTACATCCTGTGTCTCAGTTAAACCTCTAAATAACCCCACGAGAGCGGTGTCATGAGTCCCGGCTTACAGAGGAGGAAGTAGGGCTCAGAGAAGTGCGGGGTCTTGCCCAAGGCAAGCAGGCAGCTGGAATTCAAAGCCAGGCACATGGGACCCCCGAGGGCTATCTTGGACCTGGCTGTGCCCTGAGACGGCTCCCCTCCTTAGTGCTGTGGGGCCCAATTCCCGGCTCCCTCTCCATGGTTCACATCCCAGCTCTGGCCTTACTTAAAGCTCCGGGCTTCCATCTCACCAGTAAGAAGGATATTGTGTTAATAGACCTCACCCTCTATGGGATGATTCTCACAATACATCCAGAATGCTGCGAACAGCACTGGGCATAGAAAAGCCCCAAATACGTGTCCTCCAGCAATGCCATCATCACTCTTATTTGCCCCCCTTATTGCCCTCCCTGCCCCAGTGGCACCACCCACCCTACCCCCCAGCTTCTCAGCCTTGCCCACCATCCAGTAAGCAGACCCCCACCCACAGGCAGCCAGGCCACCAGGCAGTGCTCGAGGGCCCCCCCCAACACACACACACTTTCTCTGCTTACTCTCACCAAGGCTGAGCTGAGCAGCTGCACCCCGCCCCGCAGCCTTGGCCTAGTGGGAGGCCCGGCTTGGGCTGCCAAGGTCTCCCTCTAGCGGCCCCAGAGACAGTGTCTGACTTTTTAAAAAAATAGTATTGTCTTTTATTTTTTATTTAAATTCAGTTAATTAACATATAGTGTATTATTAGTTTCAGAGGTAGGATTTAGTGATTCATCAGTTGCATGTAACACTCAGTGCTCATTACATCCTGTGCCCTCCTTAATGTCCAGCACCCAGTTACCCCATCCCTCCACCCCCCTGCCCTCCAGCAACCCGCAGTTTGTTTCTCTTATGGGACGCCTGGGTGGCTGTTGGTTAAGCGTCTGCCTTCGGCTCAGGTCATGATCTCAGAGTCCTGGGATCGAGCCCCGTGTCGGGCTCCCTGCTCTTCGGGGAGTCTGCTTCTCCCTCTCCCTCTGCTGCTCCCCCTGCTTGTGCTCTCTCTCTGTGTCAAATAAATAAAATCTTAAAAAAAAAAAAAAAAAGAATCTTTTGTGGTTTGTCTCCCTCTCTGATTTTGTCTTGTTTTATTTTTTCCTCTCTTCCCCTATACTCCTCTGTTTTGTTTCTTAAATTCTGCCTATGAGGGAAATCATATAATTGTCTTTCTCTGAGTGACTTATTTTGCTTAGCATAATACCCTCTAGTTCTATCCACGTCGTTGCAGATGGCAAGATCTCATTTGTTTTGATGGCTGAGTAATATTCCATTGTATATATGAACCACCTCTTCTTTACCCAATCATCTGTTGATGGACATCTGGGCTCTTTCCACAGTTTGGCTATTGTGGACATTGCTGCTATAAATATCGGGGTGCAGGTTCCCCTTCGGATCACTGCATCTGTATCTTTGGGATAAATGAGGGACTGACTTCTAACTCAGGGGGACCTTGCTACAGCAGAACCCTAAGAGGCCCCAGCTCCCGGGCAGCTCCCGGCCAGGCCCGGACACCTGCCTTCTGTCCATTCACTCATCTGAGCTGCAGGAACCGAGCTCTTGCCAGCAGCAGCCCAAGCCGGAGGCTCGAATCTCAGAGCAGAATGACAAGGTCCGGGGCCCCGAGGGGGACCCAGGCTGGGGGGGGGTAGAACAAGCCACCGTCAGGTGCTGAGAGCCACCCCAGGGCTCAGACCACTCCCAGAGCTGGCAGGGGTGAGCATGGCAAGGAAGGGGGGGGTCCTGTAGCCAGCAATGTCCAAGCAGAAGGAGAGAAGAAGGGTAGCCAAGGAGGAAGAGAAGGTGTGTGCAAGGCCTGGAAGCAGGAGGCTGCATGCAGGGTTGGGACCCCAGGCCGCCGGGCCCTCCTGACCCATAGAGGTGCGGGCACAGGGTAGGAAGAGAGCAGTCGGAGGGCTGAGTTACCACCGTGCGGAGCAGGTGCGCCATGAATGAAGGAATGGCTTCACCTCTGTCCTAGCACCAGAGTGCCCGGGACACTTTCCCAGGCACCTTCCCCATCCTGCGGATCTGGGCTCCGCAGGAAAGAAGCCAGAGAGCCCAGATGTTAACAAGCAGTCCAGCTAATTCTGAGATCGCGTCTGGAGACTTCCTGGGCTCCCCGTAGCATCGTCTAATTCCCAGGCCTGGGGGGGTTTGGGGTGAGCCCCGGCAGCTGCCCGCGCAACAGGTGCCCCGGATCCCGGGGCAGGAGGGGCTGGCGCATGCTGAGACACGGCAGCGGGGTGAGGGACTCAGGGGGCGACCCGAGGCTGGTGGTGTTAGGAGGGCGCCATCCAGGCTCTGGTGACCTCCGCGAGTCCCACGCAGTCCGGACTCCTGGGCCCACCCAGGAGAGGGGACAGCCTGTCCCCAGCCTGCTTGGAAGGTGCTGAGGTGAGGCTCCCGGGGTTGGGAACCTGCCACATGTCCTTTACGGGCCACTCCGCCTCTCTGACACCAGGTTTTTGCACGAAGGAGACTGAAAAAGTACATGGATTCTCTTCTTCTTCTTCTTTTTAAATTGTGATAAAATAGCACATAACATAAAATTTGCCATTTTAACCATTTTTAAGTGTTTCAGTTCAGTGAAACTAAGTACATTCACAGTGTTGTGTGACTGTCACCATCACTCACCTCCAGATCTTCTGCATCTGCCCAACTAAACCTCTGTCCCCGATGAACACGGACCCCCCGTCGCCCCTCCCCCAGCCCCGGGCGCCCTGTCTCTCTGAACTTGAACTCCAGACACCTCATGTCAGGGAATCCTTTTGTGACTGGTTCCTTTCACTGAACCTCTGTCCTCCAGATTCCTCCCACTGTAGCAGGTGCCAGGAGTCCCATTCTCTTTAAGGCTGAGTGATATTCCCTTGTGCGGATGGACCACATGGTCTCCCAGGGTCACCTCCTGCTTGATTCCTCTCAACTTTTCCATCGTACCTCCCAACCGGCAATAAGAATAAATGGTGATAATAGGGATGATGCTAGAATAGTGGGTGGAATTGGCCCTCCCCCAAATATGTCCACCCAGAACCTAAGAACGTGACCTTGTTTGAGAAAAGAGTCTTCGGGGATGCAATTAAGTTAAGGATCTTGAATGAGATTATCCTGGATTAGGATGGGCCCTAAATCCAATGACGGGTGTTCCTATAAGGGACAGAGAAAGCGACAGCCACAGAGACACAGAGAGAGACCCGAGACCACAGAGGCAGCGGTTGGAGGAGCCTGGAAGCCACGAGCCAAGTAATGCGGGGCCACCAGATGCTGGAAGAGGCAGGGAAGATTCTCTGCTAGAGCCTTCGGAGGGAGCACAGCCCTGCCCACACCATGATTTTGGACGTCTGGTCTCCAAAACCATGAGAAGATCGACTTCTGTTGTTTTAAGCGCCGCCCCCTCCCCGTGCAGTTTGTGGTAGTTTGTCCCTGAGGCCCCAGGAAATCACTACAGGGACCATCCAGAGGGAAGCCACCACATGCCCTCATGGCCAACCCTTCTGAGCCCGTCTTTCTGTCCCCATTTCCCAGGCTAGGAGGCTCTGACATGTGAACCAACTTCTCCCCAGCCGGCAGAGTCCTTCTGACGGTGGCCCAGCGACCTTGACGGCTGGGCTGGGCTCCTCACCCACTACCCCCACTGCCAGTCCCAGCAGGGGAGACACAGAGAGCCCACTTCTGCCGAGAAGGCTGTTTTATGTGTTTTTT